TAAGTTGCAGTTTTTTGCATAATTTGTATGCCCTGCGACTTATAGACCGAAGCAACCTATTCATGGATTTTTTTTCCTATATTTATAAACCAATTTTTGGCTGAGATATGATCGTTTTCATTCATTCTGAATGGAAAAAATTGAACACTACCAGTTTTCAGCCGCTAGATGGCACCAGAGTAGTTGGGCATGCCGTTGTGTCATGTAATAGTTAAAAGTGGCTATAATGACAAATTCAAAAAAGTTCAAGACAAAAACAACTGGACTTTATTTATTATACTTTACTTTATACTTGTTTGTTTTTGTCTTGAACTTCTTTGAATTTACAATGTCCTGGATGACTGAGAATCTTCAGCAAATATTAATGACACAATCAGCTTGCCATACACTGCTACCTTTATTCTGCTCGCTGCTTAGAGCAACTTTTAAACCAGCTTGATTTTGCTGCACCGCCGTGGCAAAATGCAACTAATTTGACTATTAAAGTGCAATTATTAAGTAAAAGATTAACTGAGACACACCTTTACTATAATTTTGAGCAAAGGAATAATTGTTTTAGGTGCTTTTCTTGTTAAATTTCGAAGAAACGTGCAGCGTTCCTCCTTCCTTTTTTCCTCTCTGTCTGTGTGCTCCCGACGCAGTGAATACTTTTGAAATGCAGCTGATTTGACCATTAAAGTGCATTTATGAAGGAAAAGTTAGACTGAGACACAACGTTACTATAATTTCGAGCAAACTAATAATTGTTTTTAGGTGGTTTTCTTGTTAAATTCTTGTTAAAGTCCTTCCGTGCACGCTCCAGCGGCCTCCATTTAGCTGCCAATCGATTTTTGGCACAACATCGGCCCACGTTTCCAGGATGGCAGCAGTGACGCGTAACAAACGCTACGCATCAGCAGTGACGCATAATAGATGCGACGGATACGGTAAAAGTGTCATCATTTATTCCATATTCATTCCAAATTTATTCAATATTTTGGTGAAGCTTAGGTTTGATTACTGAGTTTCCTTTCAAAATTGTAATGATGGTTTCTTTCTGTTTCAGGGGTGCTGAGTTAAAAGTTAGGGATGCTTGAGCACCCCCAAAAATAGGCTAAAATCACCACTGGTTGGTATAATGGAAACTCTTAATGTGGGAGACTAGAGTTCATATCACATATTGTTTTTTGGTTTTTTTTTAATACAAACTGTGACAAAATACCAAGATTTTGTTTATTTAGTTGCTTTTAAATATAAACCAAACGTTAACTGGATGTTTGTTCAATCCAAAATCGTATCACCTGCAATGAGCATAAAGAGATTTACAGAACATGAGTGAAGAGTGAAGGAGTAGAGGTACTGAAGGCGGATGAGTTTAAGTTTTACATAAAGACGGGAGGCAGAGCTGAAGATGATGAGATCTTCACTGAGAGACGGTGAGTACATTAGAGGACAGCTCAGGCGGAGTAGTCTGAAAACAAAGTTAGATGTTTTGGACATGTGCAGAGGAGGGACAGTGGAGATACAGGAGGCAGGATGTTCAGTACGGAGCTGCCAGAAAGAAGGACAACGGGAAAACGAGGAGGTTCATGGATGCAGTAAAGGAGGACATACTGTGACAGAGGAGGATGCTGGGATAGGGAGAGATGGAGGCCCTACATGGAGAAAAAGAAGAAGACAGACACAAGGACTGTCCTCTGCTCTAACATACTGTACCTCTGTCAATCTTCAGCGCTCTTGTGATTTTATACGTATATGTCATCCTATGCAGCAAGTCTTCAAACAAGTCTTTCAGATCAGGATCAATAACTTTATTAATAGTTGTCTCGTGATGCTTGTCCGTAAAACTAAATAAATAGATATTAGGTGTATTACACAGATGCCCTTTAAATACAAATCTACTGTAACTTTAATAAACGTGTAAAAAAAACAAGAACCAACCTGTTGACAGCTTCTCTGAACTCTTTGGTCATGAACAACACCTGCAGCACACTGTTCAGGTAGCACGTCGCTCCCTGGTTCATCAAGCCGTAGTACTGAGGTGCAGCTGCCTCAGGTGTAGCTGCCTCAGGTGTAGCTGCTGTATCTGCTTCAGATCATGTCAATAAAATTTTGGGTTGTTATTTTTCTGTTATGCACGTGTAAATGACAGCACTGCTTTAATGTTGTTAATGTGGATCATACCTGACCAGACACAGTTTTCAAACAAAATATAAAATGTTTAATTTAAATTTAAGCTCATATAAATCATTAGCTCACGGTACTTACTTACAGCTGGAAAACCCACTTTATTGGTTTATTTATGAATTTATTTTGTACCAGGGCAAAAAAGGAACACGATGGTTTTAACCAGGTTCTGAAGTTATTCCAATTTAATGTCAGTCGTGCAAAAAACACACAACAGATTCCAGCGTGTCAGTATTTGTTAAACAAAAATAAAAAGGAAAAGCTGTGTGAGAAAATCTAAAACCAATCATGGCTATTTAGTAAAGTTTCACCTGAATGAACCGCCAGACTTCTGGAACAATGTTTGTTTGACAGATGAGCCCAAAGTAGAACTGTTTACCCATAATGCCCAGCGCTATGCTTGGTGCAAACCAAACCCAACACATCAGCACCAGCTGTGAAGCACGGAGCCGGAGGGCTGATGGTCTGGGCTTGTTCTGCAGCTGCAGAACCTGGGCGGCTTTTAGCCACTGAGTCGACCATGAACTCCTCTGGAGACTAACCTATTCTAGAGTCAAACAGGAGGACATCTGTCCAACAGCTGGAGTTTGGACCAAACTGGGTCATAAAACAGGACAATGATCCCAAATGCAGCAGCAAATCTGACTGAAATGACTGAGCAAGAATTTTTTTTTTTTGAATGTTATGATGGTAAGCAGGGCTTAATTTGTGAACCGATCGATGCAAGCGCGAAAATAGCAGGTGGGCTGGTTTTGGGGGGCAGATATTTTTTAAAGGGTAGAAGCAGAAATGCTACTCGAAGGGGCAGCTCTTCTGTGATATTAAGAAGTCGTGAGTGGCTGTTGTGTTTAAAATGAGTGTTTATGTAATTAGCTTCAGTTTATATATCCAATATAAGTTTTTTTTCGTTCAAGGCAGTCATGTTTCTTCGTAACTTTATTATTAGTAAGCCTGAGAGCTACCGGATCCAAGCAAACAGTTACTGGACCGCACCTCGTCAAAGTAAGAGAGCTCCTGGACCCTGTTCTGGCAGGATCCAGCTCAAATTAAGTCCTGGGTATAAGTCTATACCTCAACCTGCTTGAGATGCTGTGGTGGGACTTCAAGAGAACTGAGCAGAAACAAACGTCTGCAAACCCAAAGGAACTGACACAACGCTGTAAAGAAGAGTGGGCCAAACTTCCTCCATAACCTTGTGCTAGATGATTAGATATTTCAGCTAAAATAATTACTAATGCTACTGAATCAAGGGGCGTATGCAGTTCTTTTGCACACAGCTTCCTTTTCTGTTTTAAAAAATGACTTTTTTAACATCATGATACATAAAACCTTAGAATTTTAAATGACGGGCTCTCTGTTTGCTTGTTTATTCAGTTTTATTTAGTTAGACTAGCCCAGCTGTTTTTAAATCAGCATTTATCTGTCTTTACACTGAATTCATGTCAGGTATAAACCTTGAAACTCTGCCAAACTTCACCATAAAACTACAAAATGGCTGTAGTTCCATTCATCATCAACCAGGAAACTTCCTTAACATAAAAAAATAAAAAAACTGGTTCTTGTTAAAGTTCACCTGCAATTTGATAACCACTTAATAACAGAATTAGGATTAATCTGGAAAACGTATGGAGGGAAAACTCATTTGAGAACTTCAAATCCTGTCCCAGATTGATGCGGAAATATCAAAAATAAATTTATAACACAAACAATTCAATTTTCTATAACAATGGTACTGCATGTCTTACCCGGAGAGTTTAAATGGTTGCAGGAAAAAGAATCCATCTTTATGTTTTAACCTCTTCAGTTCATTTAAATCACCTCCTGCTGCAACGAAGAGAATCACGTCAAAAGTTGAAAAACAAAAGCAAAAGCTAAAGAAAACACGCAGACCTACCTTTAATTGTGACATTTAATCTTTAAATCCCTTCCTCGAACGACTGCATGCCATTAAAGTCCCCTCGGAGCTCTTTAAACGTCACTGATGCCTTCCATTAAAAACCTGAACAGTTTCTCTTTTGCGTCTCAAATGCTGCGTTCACGACGCCTCGGAAACGGAAATTTTATTGTGAACGCATGTTTTAAAGACGCCGGTCAAAACGTGGATTCGTGTTAAAATCTAAAAAAGCACTTGTTATTAAGATTGGTAACTAGAGTTTGTGGTAAGACTTCAACACACGAGCCTCATTTATAATAATATGATAAAATATAAAGGAAGAAAAGACGACATTCCTGTGTGTAACTAACTTTTCCCATTATCTCTTTGAAAACGTCAAGTTCATTTTTATGAGTTTACTGCTGCTCCTCTCAACAGGAGGATTAGTGAAATTTGCTCATTAAACTGATATAATAAACAGATCTCATGAATCAGATCATTTTAAAAACAGCTCTTGGAGAGAAAATATTTAGTAATTTGTGTATTTCTTTAAAAAAAAATATGCCTGTTTTCTGTTCACTTGAGCATTATCGAGTGCTTGATGTGTGTTTTACCTCGTTTTTGCTTGGTATCTGGACCTTGTTCATGATATATATATATATATATATATATATATATATATATATATATATATA